GGGAAGAAAAGAAAAGAAAAAGTGATGCATTTAAGGAAATGCAAATAACTCAGTAGGCCGAGTACAAGTTCAAACCTCAGACAAAGAGCACCAACAGGGGAGAGGCAGGTGGGTAGAAGATCTGGTCTGAGGACAATGGGAAACAGTCCTTCAAAGACCTGGAACATAGGAGCAGTATGTGCATCTGACTGGCACTGAGCAAGATCACTAGCTTGAAAGAGGAAAAGGTTAAAAGTGGTAAGTTAAAAATAAGAAAAAACTAAAAACAAGAAAAAAGGCAGGAAGCTAGAATACGGCAAAAGAAATCAGGAAGGAAAATAATGAGGCTTTGGCCTAAATAACAAAAGTCATGCGAATAGGAGGCAATCACCCCAGCACCGTACATGAGGGAAGACAGATGAAGACAAACGCAATGTAGGGTGAGCGAAAGAGTTCACTGAGAACAAGGAGAAGCTCCCGGATTCCCAAAGAATACCGGGAAGAGTTTCCCACAGTATGAAGTGCTGAGTGTCCTCATCCAAGGACAGGGACAAGAAAGCTTTTTAAATTTTGGTGAGAGTGCTAACACCACCATGATTGGAACACTGTGCTGTGGGGATAGGGGGATATTAGGAGATAGTAACAGTGATGAAAACACTATCAAGAAGTTCACCCATAAAAAGAAGAAGAAAATGAAAGAAAGTAAAATGTTTGAGACAATAGCATGAAATCAAGTGGTTTTTTGTGTTTTTTTTAAATGTGTATGCATGTATTGCCTGCATGTAAGTAAGTGCACCCATGTTGTGCAATGCCCGCATTGGTCAGAAGAGGCTGTTGGATCCTGTGACTGGAGTTACGGACAGTTGTTAGCTGCCATGTGGGTGCTGGGATTCAAACCTGAGTCTTCTGCAAGAACAGTGTTCTTAACCGCTGAGCAATCTCTCCAGCCCCAAAGGTATTCTTTCTGCAGGAAGGGAAAGCATGCTAGTAACAGTATACGAGGAAGATGAACTGAAAATCTGTGCAGAAGGAGGACACGGATCAGCACTGGGAGGTCCTCAGAACTCAAAGCAAGGCAGCAAGGCCTTAGGACCAAACCTTTCCTTTTCAACAGTGAAAGAACTGAAGCTTAAGAGCTGTGTCCAGGACAAGAAACACCATCCTCTACATGACTAGCTATTAAGTAAGTCACTTACACTATTATGTACAAAAGGGCAGGGAAAGGGAAAGTTCACCAACCCCAGAGCTGCGAGGTGATAGAGAATAGGAGAGTCCATTATCTTTGAACTATCTGTAGTGGGACTTTAAATCTTGCAGACTGGCAACACTCATTTTAGCAACAAGAAGAATACTACTAAAACAGACTTCCTGGGGCTGGAGAGAGGGCTCTATGGTTAAGAGCATGTGCTGCTCTTGCAGAAGACCTGAATTCGGCTCCAAGCACAGATGTCAGACAGCTTATAACTGCCCATAACCCATAACTCGTTTTGAAGGATCCAATGCTTCTGGCCTCTGTGAGCACCTACACTTATCCCAACACAAGCAGACACATACACGTCATTTAAAAATGATAAGAACCAATTAAAATTCCTACTACAGACCTTCCTTCCCACCAAACATGGCTTTGAAGTATTAGCATTAAGTGCTATGAATATATGCAATTACAGTGGAAGAGTGCCATAAGCACAAATGTGTGGACTTGAAGACTTCACATTTACATTATTGTTAAGGGAAACATTCCCAAAGCCACAGTGTACGGCATCAGCAGTTAGCAATACATAACTATTTCACAGACAGCATTCAAGGCCGAACATCAGATCATTAATTACCAAGAGCAATTTTCTGGGGGAAATCTTTTCACAGTATCTGTTTAGCCAGTACACTGAAACAGCGAGTTCCTGTGAGGAGTTTCAATATAGCCTTTCCTTTTATTGCCAAGGAAACAAAGAGCTGAAAATAGATAACTTAAACAGATGTGAACCAAGACACCGTGCAAAGTTTGCTCTCACCACAGCCTCAGTTCACGTTTTATCTACAGCATGGGATACTCACCCTTCGTTTACTTTTCTAAAAAGAGGAAATAAAAGCACAATTGCTTTTCATATGTGAAAAGCTCAAGCCTTGTGCCACACATTTGTCAAAACTGTTACGGAATCTCCTTTACAAAAACTTCCACTTAATAAAATTAAAATAAAAAATTGAGATTGTCTTTTTAATTAAAGGCAACAGCATGTTTTATTCACAATCATAAACCAAAGAACTGATACCTGCATATGGGTCAGGAAAGAGAAGATCCACATAGTGCCTGAGGAACGAATTGTGTGGCAGTGGCTTCTACTGAGGTTTCTCTTAAAAATTACGGCAGCCAGGCTGAGCACCACCGTGCTATGCTACCCATGTTAGAGACTGAAAACAAGGATGTGCAAAGGGTATGTTCTTATTTTAAAACAGCATTGATCCCTTGGCCCCACACACTCGTCTACGGGTGTCAGCCCTGCTTCAAGCTTGCTGCTTCTTTTTCTCTAAGAACACTAATTTTCCCTTTAAACGGTTTCAAAGGGAAAGCAAAGAGTCTCTCTTCCTACGTCACACAACAATACAGAAGATAAAACTAGAACAAAATAATATTTCAAGATTTTTGTAGATATGTTAAGCTGACAGAATGTTCCTGGCTATTACAGCTGCTGTTCTGGAGAAAAGCCTCACAGATAGGCTTGCTGTGATGTCAGAGATGCGTTAACGGTTGGTTTTGTGTGCTTAATAGAGAAAGTATGGTGGGGGGGGGCAAAGACACGAATTATATCAGGAATGCTTTCATGTAGTACATTTATTATTCAACTAAATCATAATACATCAAACTATAACCTTCCATGCTAAAAAAGGTTCTTAGCTTGATGCTTTAAATACAGGTGTGCCAAGTATGTTTGCAAAAGCAACAGAAAAATATGACCTTCTGAAACAGACAAATTTAAAGACTATTACCAAAGTATGTTTGCAGTTAAACATACATTCTTTGGTGCCTTGGAACCTGGCTCTATCACTATCACTCTGTTTACCATTGGGTTTCCATCTTGCTACCCTGCAAGGCACTCAGAGTAGCCTTTGCTTTTTTGTTTTTATTTATTTTTTTATTATTATGTGTATGAGTGTTTTGCCTCCATGAATGTAAGTGCACCTGTGTAATGCAATGTCTGCGAAGTCAGAAGAGAGCATCAGAGCCCCTAGAACTGGCGTTTTTAACAATTACTAGCCACCATGTGGAAGTGAACCTGGGTGCTCTGCAGGAGCAGTTAGTGCTCTTAATGGCTAAGCCAACTCTGGTGTCTAGTGTGACAGATCAATGCAGTGGACAGTGGCACCTGAACCACAGTGCTATGAGAAGAACATGAAGAAGCATACTGCAATCGATAGTTCTTTTTCCTTCATCTTACAATTATAAAAGCTTTTTATTTTCTTACAAGTTTTTATTAAAGGATGAAAATTCAGAAAAATAACTGAACTTCTGCCCCAAACTGATTGCTTAAGAAAACATACCTTAGCTAGGAATGGTGGTGTACACCTGCAAGACCAGCACTTGGAAGTCTGAGGCAGAAGAATTGTGAGTTAAAGACCTGGAGCAGAGGGAAGGGGAGTGGGGGGGTGATCTTTGCTTCTTTAGGCCAATGATAGTCTACTCTGTCACTTCATTTTACACTTACAGGACTGCTGATACCTCCACCCATCACAAAAGAACACTAAATGAAGCTTAAAGGGCATTTAAGAGGCGCCATGAGGTGACTCTATTCACATTTTTGCTAAGAGGAGGGCAGCTGAGGGTTCTTGCAACAGCACCCACTTTGGTGGTTTTCACAAGGATCTTATAGGGCTGGAGAAGCACTGCATGCTGTTACAGACATCTCAGTAACCTTGTTCTTTAGCAATTTTTTCTTGTTTCACAAGGAAATGCTATGTAAAAGAATGGCTTGCAAAAACTGATATGGCGGGGGGTGGGGTGAGGTGGTGGCTTTAGACAGAGACATTTACCTGCTGGCAAGACTGAGCAGTTCATGTTTATCTGCCACAGCTGACTTCTTCTCCAGCTCCCACATCAGGACATTGATCAGATGTGAATTTTTAATTACAATCGGCACTTCCTCAAACATGTGCTCAAAGGTGATACTTGCCTTTTTCAATCTGTGAAACATGTTAAAAACACTTTAGGCTGGTGGTCAGAAGTGAGTGCTAAATTGAGTATTCCAAACATTTTACCTAATTACAGTTTCCAGGTTTCTTGTTTCATTAATACCCTTAAAGACAGAGAGGGTTAGGGGGAGACAGGCTAGATGTTACTAGTCAATCTTGAAAAAGATATGAAACTGAGCTGTAAGTCCAGAAAATAAGGTCCTTGGCAAAATAAATGATTCATGCCTTGTTATAAGGTATACTTAAAATTTCAGTGACACTGAAATGTAAATAAGTCACAGTAAATTATGTGACACCATCGGCATCTAAACCACTTAAAATATCCAGAGAAGGGAAATGCTCTCTGTACCCTCGGGAGTTCATTTTAAAGCTTGTGCACTGAGGAGACTACCAGCCAAGAGAAGTCACAGGAGCCCCCACAGCATGGAGCCAGCGAGAGCACGGTCTCCCAGGCAAACATCCCAGGAGCTGCTCATGAATCAGCTTGTCTTTTAGAAGCTATGCACACTAGGAGCCAAATGGGAAACTGTCCTACATCACGTTTCACGATTAGTAAAAACATTTTTGTAATTAATAGAAAACAGAAGAATTCTAAATAACTTTAATGTAAATATTCTCTTGCCATGAAGTGGGATCACAAAACAGTTAATCCAAGGTATATCTGTTATTCATCTTAAAATGTTTTTACCTATCCCACCTCCTTATGAAACGGGAATTCAAAAAATAAGACATGTAGCTCCCAAGCAAGCTGACAGTTCACAATCTTATGGTGTGAACCACTCTTCCTGTCTCCCTTTATTCTATCATTCATTTCTTCAGCCATGGTACCTAAGTCCCAC